AACCGCGGTCCCTGTGCTTTGCTGAGCTTGTTCTAAGTAGGTGCTTTAGACCACTGAGCCATCTCACCAGCCCTGAATCAAATCTTTTCCCTCAAATTTTACATTGTTTTAAAAATGATTTTCTTTTTTTACTGAGCCATCTCCCTGGCCCCTAAGCTGATTTTTCTTAGGGCCTCTCCTCTCCTTCCTTTTTCTTCCTTGAGACAACGTATTGCTTCGTAGTCCAGGCTGCCCTTGAACTCCCTATGGAGCCCTGGGAATCTTCCTGCCTCAGCTTCGGGGTGTGGAGCCACAGGCCTTGGGCTTTTTTTTTCCCTTTTTGCACTGCTTCTTCCTAGGGATCCAGCACTACAAACAGATTGCCCGAACACGAGGGAAGCGAGTTGCGCTCGCCACTGAGCTTCTAGCATGCACATCTGTGCGCTCTGCCCTCAGGAAAACACACTCACTGTTCAGGGCATCTTTTGAAGACAGAAATTTGCTGAGCACAGATTTTAAGAATAAAAACTAAAATTCATTTTGCTGATGATGGTAAAAAAGGATTTTCCTTTAAAGTCATCAAAATAACCCATTTCCTGTTTCATTGTTTTTAAGAACTATGTTTTTTCTCGACATGCCTTTCTTGCTCTTATTGAATAGATCTTTGCTCTTTTCCTAAACGTTTAGTGAAGGCCATGAAACACAGATCCAGAAATCATTTACAAACAAGAGTGATGGGACAGCAGTGGGGACCAGATGCGTGGGCCAGCCGGCTCGAGTGCCCACATGGCCCATCACGCAAGTCCTGAACACAACTGCAGATCCATTTCATATAGACATAATAGAGGAAAATCTGGTAAAGACAGTGACGAATTTGCAGGTTCACAGCTAATAAAGCTCTGTAGCACCCAGCTTGCCCTGGTCACGCGATGGAAATTCTCTGATAAATGAGTGGACTTCTGAAAGCCAGAATAATCGAGCCAGGAAACTGCAGATTCCTCAGCCAAGCCTCATAATAGAGTTCAGCACAATCCATCACCCACTTTTGAAGCTGTACTCAGCCCTCTAAACAATGGCTTTCTGGGTATTTCTTTTTTTTTTAAGGAAGGGTCTACAGGGTGCTCAGGGTCTCACTACTAGATTGGACTCAGTGATCCGCCTGTTCACAGCCTCCCAAGAGCTGGGAGTACAGGCACGCACCACCACGCCCAGTCTCAATCACCTTCTCAGTGTGCCCTGGGGGCAGGGCTGGCAAGGCAGGCCTGGGGATCAACCCTTGGCCCCTGCGCCAGTTTGCAAGTGCTTTAATCTGCTGAGCTATTTGGCTGGCCCTTCTCTGGGTATCTTTAGGAAATTACATTTCTAATCCTTTTTTTTTGTGTGTGGAACTGGGGATTGAACTCAGGTCCTTGCGCTTGCCAGGGAAGCACTTATTCTACTGAGCCATCTCCCCGGCCCCTACATTTCTAATTCTTTTTTTTTTTTTTAAATATTTATTTATTTATGTGTGTGTGTGTGTGTGTGTGTGTGTGGCCAGCTCAGCCCACCAGGGGGCGGGGCTGGCTGGCATGTGGTGCTGGGGGATTGAACCGCGGTCCCTGTGCTTTGCTAAGCTTGTTCTAAGTAGGTGCTTTAGACCACTGAGCCATCTCACCAGCCCCTACATTTCTAATTCTTAACCTGAGGCTTAAATGTGATAATTTTCCAAATATATTCTCGGCATAAGACTTTTAGATTCTTTTCTAAAAGGAATTGTGCACATGAAGAAATGTTTGTGTCTTCATTTAACAGGCAACGCCCTAGTTATCAATGCTCCGTTTTAACCTTTTTCAGTTGGAGAACTTTTTGTAGACAAAAAGGAATATGACTGTCAGGTTAACAACACCTCCTGGTATTCTCTAGAGAACTGAACTGTAACTCCCCCAGGACAGAATAAAAGCCAAACAGACCCCTACTACACATGTTAAAGGTCTAAATCATGTTTAGAGATTGCTCAGCACAAAAGATTTCCACTTTAAAGCTATTTGGGGGAGGTCCTGGGAGACCCACTATGCAGCTGTATGATTCTCTTCTTCCATCTTTTTCCCCAAGCTGGGCTGGCATCTGTGCCACAGAACGGGTCCCTCGGAGCCCGTGACTCCCACGTAGTCCTAATTACAGAGGCCAACCTGAGCCCCATCGGCAGCTGCTCTGACTCAGCCTGATTGCTTTCAGATCCTGAGATTTCCCCGAACCTGAGGCCGCAGCAGCTCAGACCCCACAAGCAGACTCCTCACTTCCTGTACAGGGCCACAACCTGCGTGACTTCAGCTTTTCATGCCCCAGTTTCTTTAGCAGTAAAATGTGGAGAAGTCTGCAACTAGGCTTCAGGGGTGACCAACAAAGACCACAGAACTTAACCCTGAAAAACTCTTGGCAAGCTGTAGTCTGACCTTCATGGCTCTGCTGGAGGAATACAGGCTGCAGATCGCTGCCTGGAAGCACTTGGGGCCACAAGCACTCCGGACATTTGGTTCCAGAATACATGAGCCCATGTGCTGAGCTAGCTGGGGGAGGAGCCGAGCCTAGATGCCCAGTTCATTCCCATTTCATACGCGTGTCACACCAGCCTGAAGGTAATTGTATACGACATTTGCAGTATGCTTCTGAGTCTTGAGGTCTCGGGCCTTGTGCATGCTGGGCAAGTGTGTTACCACTGAGCTCCACCCCTAGCCCCTGTGTCTGTGGGTTTGGTTTGGTTTGATTTGGTTGTTTGAGATAGGGTCTTGCTGTGTGGTTCAGGCTGGCCTGGAACTTACGATGTAGCTCAGACAGGCTTGGAAGGCACGATGATCCTCCTGCCTCAGTCTCCCGAGTGCCAAGATGACAGGTGTGCGCCACCATGCCAGGCGGTGTCTGTTTTGCCTGTGGCCTGTCTCCCAAGCTCCAGTGTGGAATCTGCCCCTTGTGGCGTTGTGCTGGCCCTCACAAGGTTATGGATTCTGGAAGATTTCTTTTTTTTTTTTTTAAATATTTATTTATTTTTTTTATTTATTACATTTATTTATT